ATCCTTTATGTGAACATTGCTCCTAAACAAATGTTCAAGGTAGTAGACCAGGAAGGCACCTGATCATCAATAATAGATGTGTTAAAGGGGTTGTCAATTGTGAACAGTTTTTTCCAGAGGAAAAATAGATCTGCCCATTCTTAATACTACCAAAGCCATGGCTGAGAACAATTACAAAGCACCTGAGAAAGGAAACTGAATACAATCTATGAAAGGAAAATGAATACAACATTGAATTGCAAAAGGAAATCTACCAGGAATCCAGACTTGTTTTGGTACTAGTTTATGATAGACGACCACCCATTCGTTTAGTTAGGGGAGGGGGGGACCCCCCTTTACTAATCACGATCCAACATTATCGTGCTTTTAATGTTTTTTTGTGAGTCCCCGATCGTTTGCCAGGGTTAGGAGGACGCCAGAATATGAATGCAACGCTCTTATATTCAGTGTAGAGTCACTTACGAGGCGGATGCCGACTCTATGTTTGCTTGGTATGGCCGAGTGGATATGACCCGAATTCAAGCCCGCGGGTGCAACACTCGGCGGACTGGAGGGCTACCACCCCAACACTGCATTCGGAAAGTGGCCTGCCGCGCGTCATTTCGAGGACGTGGTATTTACAGCACTTTCTATGTGTCCGCAGGGTCACTGGGGAGCGCGTCGAAATGGTCTCGAGCAATTATGTAGAAAAGGCATGGTATGTACATGTATGCACAGTACCTTTTGTTTGTCATCGATTTCACAACATTGATCAACATTGTCATCGACATCACAACATCGTCATCGATGATCTAATATAGCATAGTTTAGTTGTGTGCCTAAAATGGGGTTGGGTGCGGGGGTGGGGGTACTTTGTTTTCACAACAGTCGTCGATTTCACAACAGTTTCATCGTTGTCACAACATTGTCATCGATTGGTCATAATGAGTAGGTGCTGTTTCCTTTTGCGCCGATTACGTGCTGTGAAACAACAAATTCGCTCTCCAAATGGAGAATGAAGTTGGAACCAATCTGAAATTGCAGAAAATTATTTGTTGAATTGTTGCGTCGGGGCATGCAACTCTGAGAACCCAAAGTAGTTTTTTGGAAACAAACAACTGCGCAAGAAAACCCCTTAACAACCAAAGAATTGCTAATCCCAAGGTAATTTCAAGAAAACGACGTCTTCCGTGTTCAACACACAGGAAATTGTCCCGAAACCACCCAGCCGTCTACGTGCGGCGGACCATGTAGTTGCTTGCACCGGACTGACAGGCATGTGAGCGCAATCCAACTCACAGTCCCAGGGCCTGGAAATCCGGAAATCCCATGAAATCCCCCTGGGTTGTTGCCAGGTGGCTTGGCGGCATGCCTAGGCCAAGCAAAGAATTCCGTTGAGACGCGAGTCATCCAGAGCAAATCTCTGCCAGGTCCCCTTCCAATACTTCGTTCAGCCAGCTCTACTGTTGAGCTGTTCCCACAGAGTTGTCAACTCAACACCATCCTTGTTTGCAAGCCAGAAATCTAGCCAGAGCCACAGGTCGGAATAACACAACTATATAACTATGTTGGTACAACGTCCTTCAGACCCTGTGGACGGCAGCAGCATGGTTGGTCAAAGCGCATTGGTATTCCGATTACTGTTGAAAAACGTGTGAAACAGGGGTCGCCCGAAACTAATCACTTCTAGTATGTCCTACAAAACACATATTCTTTCTTTAGCGCAGTTTGCAGGCCGCAGCTAGCTGCTTCAGTATCTCATCAGGTATGAGATCTGTGGTAACCCTCAAGTTTCGGCGCCACAGCCATTGGCACACTCTCTTAACTTCAAGATAACGCTGGTCGTGGAACAAAAAGGAGCGTGCAGCGTGAGAGACTAGCTTCCTCAGATCAAGGTTCTGTCGAGGCTTGCACACATGACTTTGTTCGCTATTAACAGTCTCCATGTAAGAGCACCGGCGAACTTTTCCCGCTTCATGCTACATTAGAAGTATCGGGCACCCACCACCTATGCAGGTGAGCTAACCTGTCCGATGGCCGAGAAACTTGAAGCATCCCGAAACCAAAGCCTCATGACATTCAAGGACACCGGAAATACTGCACCTCTCTGGGCAAGGACATTTTCGCAACCACTCCATCCATTGCGTATCGCATCCAGTATGCTTGCAAGTAGTAGAAGTGACGTCAATAGAGCCCCACCCCACCCCGTCCATTGCAAGTATGTTTGCCAAGTGATGCTGCTACCTTAAACAACTGCTCGCAACGCCATCCAGGCCAAATTGCACAAGCCGAGTTCCCGGATATATGCACAGCGTCACCAAAGCGGCCGCTATACAGATCCATCATTGGACAACCTCGACACCCTGAACCAACGACCGCAAAGTCGCCATGTGAGCCGGCAATAGCGACCACACCAAGCAGACCAAGCACGTCCTCCATTATCTTCAAATAGAGTGGCGTCCTGAACGACTCGGATTAACGGGCATTCTGGCCGGCCACACAACACATCGTGCGCTGCGTCCAAATCTCTGATGGATGCAGCCCACCAACGTTCCAACCCCTGAGGAGCCGGCGGACCGGAACACCAGCTATGCGTAGAACCAAAATGCATGCGACGCCCTCCGTCGCAACATATCGTGATCCATCGCCGTCGCATAAACTGAACACATGTTGACATCTTCTTTATGAATGTGTTCAGTGTTCAAGGGCTTGAGACTCGAGCTGAACAAAAAAAAGAACATCTGGCTGGACCTTTGCTTCTATTTCGTCTGTCCGGGTAAAGGATACCGGCCTACCTGGGCCTTGATGCCGCGATGCCGGCATGAAAGAGAAAGAATTCTTGCAAAAGTTTGTTGAATAGACCCATTTCGTGTCATGGCTCACAGGCCCCTGAAGACGTTTTAGGGAACTATGTTTACTCTATGTTTGGTGTCTCTGGATTCTCCGACTGTCTCAAAGTGTTGTTGCAGCTTGTGAAGCTTCTGTGCAGCGGGCTATCAGATTCTTCTTCGTACGGAGGCATGGCTCGGATCAGAGTCTTTTCTTGTCAATTTCAGTATTACAATTAGAGTATATTGCGATTACAACTGTTCTTGTTGTGAGAAACAAACAAGACATCTAGAAGCAGGGCAAAGCTGGAAATCTTCCAGATTCCTAGCCAAGCGGCAACAATTCCAAGGCTGGCTGCCACCGGCGCGCCTTGGCCAAGTTTTGCATCGCCTCAATCTTGCCCGTAGTGGCCAAATGGGCCCAAATGATCTTCAATTAGGCAACTCTTACCCTCTGTATATTGACGCTACTAGGGGCTCCTGGCCTTACTACTAGGAGCAAGGGCGCTACTAGGGGCTCCTGGCATCGCTACTAGGAGCAAGAACGCTACTAGGGGCTCCTGGCCTTATTAAGGTTGTTGGCTGCCTGCAGAGGGGGTCTGCATGGGCCAACAAGCAAGGTTTCAAATCTTCTCAACGTTGCAGCTGAAAAGGTGTCTGTCTGGGTCCCTGACACGATTCCATGCGGCCACTTCACAGGATTCCATGGCATGGATCGATCACTGTGGCAAGTGCAGCTCTCAAATTTGTAGCTGTCAGATTCGTCCAAGAACAATTCCAGGTTTTTCTCTCACCAAAGGTTGCTGGCTTTGTTTTTTTCCAACTTTTTGGGTAGAGTTGCCTGAGTGAGGTGAGGAACAAATTTACTGGCAAACGTACTCAGAGAAACAGACTCAGGAAGTTGATAGGTTTTTCTACTAGGCAGCTTCTGCAAGTGCATCAAACGGATATATAGAATCAACAGCACAAGTTACATTGGGCCAGTCCAGGGTCCAGGGCCGTAGCATCTTGAGCATGCTTTACGGGCTTTCAGCGCTTCAAGCTCTTATCTTATCAGTTCATCGTGTTGAGAATGTCTTAAAATCAAGTGAATAGGCAGTGCATAGGCAATCTTGGCCGGTTGTCAGAAAGACTGATTACTACAAACATCTACAAATCATGTCCAACAATATTGAACCGCCTCAACCCTCAAGAGCTTGCCATGCAGTACTTCAGTTCTATGTGCTTGGTCATACTATGCCTGAAAGGCTGAGAGGTCCACAAAGGTCATCACCAGCAAGCTCTCCCGAATCTCTGACCACACGAGGCTGAGCAGGCATGATGTACCCAAGATCTGCCTTGGTGGCAGTTTTTTAGAGCTTTTATTGGTTGGAACTTGGATGCCGCCTTTTGTGCTTGTCATTTCTTGTGCAACGTTGATGCTGCCTAAATGGTGGTCTCTTAGTGGTGACAGCTGAGCAGATTGTTTTCGTTCTCCAGATCCACTGTGACCAGCCTACCGACATTGAGAACAATCCTGTGGCTTTTACATAGGATCTCCAGGGTTGGTCAACCAAACGATGGCATCTTCCTGGGTGGGTCCGGCCCGAAGTTGACGATGAGGGCTATCTGCGCAGCGCAGCTCCATCTTAGCCTCGGAAGAGAACTTACCTGGCAACTCTCTGGTCATCTACAGATATCATTATGCTTCATGAAAAGGTCACCTCGCTGACCAAAGCCATATAGCAACACTTGAAGTACAGTATACAGTATGCCAAATCGCTGTCCTCCCGCTTGTCTCTACATTGCATCTTGCCACAAACTTGAGGGGCACAGGGCAGCCTACACTGTTCCACCCGAAATCAGTGCTGTCACCTGCCAGTCCATCTTGCCAGGTCTTTGTCAAGTGGCAACCTCCTCTCAGAAGGATAGACCTGAGTGAAATCGTGATTTCCTTGAGACCGGTGATTGAAGCCAAAAGTGTTGAATCCTTGAAGGCCGACTTGCCTGTGCTACGTCCCTAAGCATTGAGTTGTTCTTTGAAGAACGTTCTTGTTTGGTAGCAGGGAGTCCAAGACCTATATAAGTAAGACAACTCGTGGTAAGCATAGACAGGACCTTGGGATCCCTTGCGCATTGCTTGCATTGCATAGAACTATGAAGCATCATGAAGCTGTCCGATTAACCAACGCCTCTCAGTCTCAGCAAACGCATTGTAAGAACAAAAAAAGAATCTGAAAAATGCTTCAAACCTCTCAGCCTAAGTGGCCAAATGTGCAAAGTAGAGGATGAAGGCCATGAGTTGCAAACATCGTTGGCCGCCTGCCAAAGACTGGCAGTCAGTGTCTACAGTGTCTACAGTTTGTTCTTGGTTTGGTGCAAGTGGTGGAATGTACTTCATAGCTGCATGCATCATACCCCACAATCATGCCACGATACACTCCTTGGACATTAAGAATAGGGAGTAGGGGCTGTCAGGTTGGACTCCACTGAAACGCCGTCGTCTTAGATCTGTCTCTGATTGTGAACAACAGTCTACCGACGGTCTACCCCATACAAGAGATCTCTCTCCTTACTGCATTCCAAGAAACTGCAGAGGAATCGACGAGTCGAACACTGGCAGAGAGGATTCATGAAGGCAGTGACAGCACGACCTGATTTGAACAACAACTTTTTCGACCACCCCAAACTCAAGCAACAAAAACAGCCATCCCACAAAACCTCGGCATCGCTTACAGTAACCAACGCAAAATGATACAAAATGCATAATTACAACGTTACAACCGAAAGTTTCTATTGAAACCAAACTCCAAAGGTTGGACGAGTAACTACCAAAGTCAACAGCATGGGTCTTAACGATGAACCGGGCAAATCCTGCCCAAATCTTCAGCAACAAAGTTCACGCTTGTTTCATGCTGCATGTTTCAAAAATCACTCATAGGTTGGAAGCCATCGCTACCAGGGTGGAGGCCATGGCTACAAGGGTGAAGCCATCACCACTTGTTAACATTTGTTAACTATTTGCAACCACAACATGGAAGCATGTAACGCTGGAAGTTCTATGCCGGCACTGTGGCTGTGAGACCCATCATCTAAGCGACAATCAACAGACTGGTTGCAAAGGTGTTCGAATGTGTCGCCTCATTCTCAATAACCTTCTGAACAACTATAGCTGTGTGACCATGCATTCTCACGGAACCTACTTTTTCATATGGCCATTCGTAGCCCTTTATTGAAGGGAAAATCACATCATCCTTGTCGTGATTGATGATTCGTGATGCCACTGAAACATCATCCAATCATCCACCGCCTGACCAAACAATCGCCCCAATAGCCGGCAAACCCAAGAAGTTCAGTAGGAAAAAGGTCACCAGAGGTAACATCACGACCTGAGGTTCACCGCAGTCAGTTGAGCGTCTCCACTGTCAAACAAGGCAATCACGCTAGCTGCAGCCCTGCATGAAAGAAAGTCTGTTGAATCACAACTCACAACGTGTTCGCAGGAACCTCTAAATGTAACAGTGGTGATAAATATACAAGCACTGGGCAAGGGTTGACAAAGTGTTCAGCTATTTGCTGTTTTGGATACCCTGGTCTGTTTTCTAACACAGCTGCATCCAACTCTATGGTTCCCTGCGAACGGGGGGTATCTTGTTGACGCCTGGCCTGCTGAACCATCTGGTCGCGAAGGCTGTTCTCGGGCAACATGGGATTGACAAAAAAGAAACAATAATGGCAGAACTCCAAAAATTGCAAACCTTAGTTGAGGTGTCCCACAGGGCCCCGGTTAGCGTTATTAGCTTAAACAACCTTTATTGTAGATTGCCACGGCTTGGAAGTCCAACCACAACAAGCGGGCTATGTCCCAATCACACCTAACCCACCTGTCTGAAATGCAAAGATTTCGGAGCTGAGTCCCGTATTGTCTCGTATATCAACTGGCCGAGATGCATCCCAAGCACCTGCCTCAGAACAGAAGTTGGTTTGTGGGAGTCACTCCAATCCCAAGATCTTCCCCGAAATGCAAATTTTGAGTTCAAGTTTCATGGACCACCACTCAAAACTAAAACAATACAAGAGTTTTCCGAAGACCCTTTTGTTGAGCATCAAAAGAAAACCCCCCTGAGCATCTCGCCTCCGGGCGAAACTCTGGAATGCTCCGCATCATGGCGAGGGCCACATGCATCTTGGCACTCCGGAAGCCACGAGAATGCTACTAGGAGCAAGGACGCTACTAGGGGCTCCTGGCCTTACTACTAGGAACAAGAAAACTACTTTCTTCGGATGCCACCATGGATCGATTTTAGATGTTCAGGGCTCATGGGTAAATGATGGTAAATGTCACTTGAGTGGGAGGGGGTGGACGAAAGGTAGGTCACTAAGTTCAACTTTCAAAGAGGTGAGAGAAGATAGAAAAGAGAGGGAGAGGGGGGGAGAGAGAGACAGAGAGAGAGAGAGAGCGAGACAGAGAGAGAGAGAGAGAGGAGAAGAGAGAAGAGAAGAAAGAAGAGAGAAGGAAGAGAGAAGGAAGAGAGAAGGAAGAGAGAAGGAAGAGAGAGAGAGAGAAGAGAGAGAAAAGAGAGAAGAGAGAAGAAGACAGAAGAGAGAAGAAGAGGAAAGAGAGAGAGAGAGATCCGTGGGATTTGAAGAGCAGCAGCAGCAGCAGCAGCAGCAGCAGAAGCAGCAGCAGAAGCAGCAGAAGCAGCAGAGCAACAGTAGCAGCAGCAGTAGCGCAGCAGCAGCGGCAGCAGCAGCTGAGAAGCTCAATATGAATCCAATCACAGCAAAGCAGCAGCACCAGCAGCAGCAGCAGCAGCCAAATGACGAGGAGGGAGGAGAAGCTCGATACAAATCCAATCACACGAAGCCACAGTACCAGTACAATTGAAGGAAAATTCACTCGTCCCAGGGTGGAGTTGATCTCCTGTCATACAGAATCGAGTCAAAGTCATGGCGTGTGGGAGGATCCTGCCCTGTAGCTAAAGCTAATTGAACTCAGGTAGCTGAAGCTACCTTTCGTGACATGTCCATCGTTTGACACCTCAGTGTCACCAGTGCCACAATTTGCAGTGTCAAAATGGTCATCAAAGGTCAATACCACATTGTACTGTCGTCGCCACCACTCACTGAGCACCCCTATATATATATATATATGGTGTTTATATACACACTATTTATATATACGTAATATATGTGTAAAATGGCCATTGGGACGTGAGGAGGTCGCGTTGGTTTCGAATGGTAGAGGCTTCATTGTTTCCCTCCTGAATAAGCCAAGCTTCTGCCGTGGCAACGCCAAGCACCTGCATGTTGGTGCCATACGCGAAAGGGGCGCTATTGACCCTTCCTCTGGCTGTGGCACTGTTGAGGAGGCACTAGCAATGTTTCTACTCTTGACGTCTGGCCACCGTGGTGTCCATGTTTGATCATGTTTGACTACTGTACTGTATCGTGCAAGTTCCTATTTCAGCCAGTGGGATACCAAAGCCTTGGTCAAGCATGGTCAAGAGTCAAGACAGGAAGGTGGCAAGGGGCCGCACTCCTTCCCGCAGTCTCACCACAACTCTGGGTCTTTATCTCGCGGCCAAGGCACAAAGAGGTACTTCCTGAGCTTGGAGTGTGTCACGTGTGCGTTCAATAGCAATACGAAGACCCAAGGTTATTGGCTCTCAGGTTCTCTCAGGAAACTCCAGAATCTAGAACGGATCGCACTGGTTGCCACTGAGGAGCTTTTGAGCTCACGAGCCGCATATGAAGCAAAACTCCATCCCACCATATTCCACCTAGACCTAAACGAATTCTGAAAAGCTTTGGATTGTCCCACACGGCAAACAAACCCTTAGAGCACTTACAGTGTCAGTCACATCCTATGTCACATCCACCTATTGGAGACGCAACTTCCAACCTTCACAAAAGCCAAGCAAGTCGTTCAAGCCGCTCAAGATCCTGTCCCCAAGTTCTATTCAGCCTTTTCTCCCAAACATGCTACTACGTATGCCCACCTTCCATCCAAGAACCTCATTGGAGTTCAAGAAACCCAGTAACTGGGCCAAACCTGCAATGAAGCTATGCAGGTGGATGGTGCATTGACGGTGCTAGTTGGATATGTCCATGCGATCCTGCCAACAGCAAACATCAGTGAACCCCAAGCAGCTCAAGCATCAGAAATTGACAGAGCTCGAACAAAGCCTAATACTTCTTGTCCGCACAACCATGATTGCCTATGCTTCACAAACCCATGATTGGTTGGCGCGTTGCAGATGGGAAGGTTGTAATCAAGCAAAGTTACTGGGTTGTTGTTGCATTGATTTGCATTGATCGGGGTTGATGCTTCTGATGCAAATTGGCCAAGGAGCCAGGATACTTGCGCCTTGCCACACCAACGCGAGTAAACTGCTGCTGGTGCTCTGCAAAGGCCGTGTCCACCACGTGCCTCCGCTGATTCACGGCATCTGTGACAGAATGTCTCAACCATATCTCTCGTCTGTCAGTTTGGGATGACAGGGACCACCGCCTGGCACCTGACATAAAACTGCAATTCCCCGCCTGAAGCGGCGACGCAAAATCACCCGCCGTAGCATGCGGACGATCTTGCACATTGCCTGCAGCAATTATTGCAAGGAGTTGTTGCTTGTTGCTCCATTCCGTTATCTTCAGGTTGAGAAATTGGACTAAGATTTGTGTTCTCAACAACGAAGATCATCAACGTAGAACGCTGACTCTGTGGACTTTGTGAATTAATGGATTTGTGACGTTCAAGGCTGAATGGTTTGGGATGAACTATGATGAACGACACCCTCATGAAGCTCATTGAAAACGCTGACTCATTCGGGGGAGCTTCCTTGAGGATGTCTAGCAGGGGCCGAACTATTAGCTATTACTTACCCCTCTGGCCAGCCAGCTACTTGCTTAGTCTTCCTCCTCACAGCATACCCCCTAGTGCATACTAGTATCATATAATGTCCGTTGTTTTTTGAGATACTGATGTATATTGTGTATATATATATATACACATCTATATGTATACGTATGTAATCACTAGTGTGCTCTTCTGTTCCTTTTATGGTTCTTTTTTGAAGCTGAGTAGACCTCCCCACCTCATGGCGTCGCTTGGCAGCGACCAACCGCCGCTTTTCCAGTGCGTCGTGGAAGGCAGCGGCCAACATGGCCACTGGCATTGTGACAAAGGCCCAAGCCACGAACAAAGAGCCTCAGAAAGGAACGACGATACGCAAGAAAGTTGCTTAAAATACTATGATTGTTGGACTCCCAACTTACATAGGGTTTCCAGGAGGATAGTCAGAGTTTTGCCTCGTCTGGTGGGATATTGAGTACATGACTTTCACCTCACATAGCCCCAGAGCTGGCGTCTAAAGAGGCCCACAATAATTTTAAAAAAAAGAGGAACACCACTTGAAGACAATACAGTATACAACTTTGAAATCCTGCCCAATTGAGGCAAAGCTTCAGTAAGAGGTGAAAATTCTGCTATGAGCTGGCTGTCCTGTTCCGTCACTTCACTTTCGAACTCTTGACTTTCGAACTGGGTGCTTCCTGTTTGCCTTCAGGACAACGAGCCCGTTCATGGAAAATGTTGTTTGAACGAAGTGATCTTAGGTGCCAAATTGTTGCTTGGCTGCAAATGTGCATAGCCCTCACCTTCACCGGGTACTCGGTCATTGGATAGTCCCCACTCATGTGGATGAGCCTCTGCACGCGAAGCATGATTGCACGCTTGCAATGTGCGAAACGAAGTGGCAACAACCAAGACTTGGGGGGGAAACTAATTCATAGACAGAATATCCGCTCATTGTGATTCTTGCGACTGCGCATCAAGCCGAGTCCAAACAACTGGGTTGACAGCCATACAAACTAGTAAGAAAAGAACCAGTCGAAAGCACCAAAGCGGGATGAATTTGGGTTCTGGTAGGAACAGTGCTTTTCAGAGCCCGTGTTGGGACAGGGATGGAAAACCATAGATTTCAAGAGACCTGCAACTTGCCTCCTCGCTTCTCCGCAGACCCTTTCAAAAGCCCACGCAGGGTTGTCAATCATCGAGGCTCGCAACTAGATAGAAGTAGTCAAGCTGCGAGAATTGCATGGCAAACCTGGCAAACACTATTCAGGCAAAGCGGCATCGTTGAGTAGCTTTCTCTGGTAAATTAACGACTGTCATGCTGTTTGGTGAGGAAACAAGTACTGTACTGTAAGGCAAATCGAGGTCAGAGTAAATCCTGAGAATTCATTTTGTTCATTTGACACTCTACATTTCTCCTCCACCCTTGAAATGCAAAACTTGTGATGTGCAATCTTGCCAAGTGGCCAATAGTTGCTGTACCAGCATGCGAAGGTCTTCTCTTCACTCTTCAGCTGAAACTCACTGTGGAGAAAGTACCAGTTGTACCTGAGTTCCCACAGAACATGGACAAGAACAGTGCCGTGCGCGCAGAACAATAAGAAGGATTTGCCTCTGCACCTGCTCCAGGTTTTCGCTAGAATTGTTTCTGACGCACTTTGCGTTGCAAGCAAGTTTGCATAAATGAGGTGTTTAGTTTCAGCGCATTGGAATACTTGTCAAGCATGCCGAACGTGGCACTACGCAGCTGCCTTAAAGCATGATGATGACAACCAGCTGTAAACAACCCTGCTAGCAGTTGCATCCCATTGCAAGTGGTTTGACCCAGGTACTCGACCCAATACAAGTTTCCAGATTCTATACATATATATATAGGTACCATAAGATGATGTGGCCTTTCCCATCAAGAACAACACAGCAAATATCTCCATCGGACAAGCTAGATACCTAGTTGACGAGATCCTTTTAGGCTTCCCCCTGAATCTGCTTGAATGTGAGCGGCGTTGTCATGAGAAACCAAAAGCAAAGGAGTACATAGCAAACGTTCACAACTTGATATCCTCGGCTCATGATCACCTGCAGCGGATGGGCCAAAATCATCCAAAATCACAAAGTACATGTAAGCTGGCTGCAAGTACTCTCTGTACCCTTCTCTATATAGCCTTCATCAGCTTGAGCCTTGGAGTAGATTGACATAAATGTTCCTCATGCACTTGTTGAGGCAGGTTACCCAGCCAGTTACGAGCATGCTTGTGAAAAATCAATCCTACAGCTCTTCGGTCACGAAATTGCACAGTGTGGTGTTATTTTTGTGTGTGTGTGTCCGTGTCTTTAGTGACTGTCATGTGGCACGACAGTGGCACAAAGTGGCACGTCTCCTACCTGTAGCACATCCTGGAAGGCTGGGACGAACCGTTCAAGGGCCAAGAGGCCTCAAGGCAATGCTGCTTGAATCCATGGTGTTGCTTTCATAGATGGCGCAGCAAGTCCGATGTCCGAAAAGTTCGATGGAAAAGCAAATTCAAGCGCCATTGCAATGCGTCGTAGACACAAAGAATGGTGTTTCTTTTATGTGTGAAGGCCAAGGCATGGAGAGCTCTCTAAGGAGGCATATCTCGAATAGCACTCAATGCGCAGCAAGATGCGCCAAAGGCGCAGCACTCGAGCTGTGTTCAGCACCTTGTAGCTGATCTCCGCGCCTGTAGGCTCGGAAATTTGGAAGCCTGGTCTGAAGCTATTGGTTGCTCAACAAGAATGATGAGAACTTGATATTGGGTTGTTTCCTCTTCTGGCTATTGTCACATGGGTGTCCTGCGCTGTTTGTTCATGAGAGCTGCATTCAACTTCACATTCAGCACTGCACCCATATGGCCCACCTGCCAAATAAGCCAATGTCACTGGGAAAGATCCTGCGCAACGAGACAACCACAAACCCAAAAAATAGTGCTCTTAAAAACATGTAACATATATAATATGTACAACACTTTTGTCACTGAATCCCATGCAGCTGAACACAGTCTTCTGACTCTGAACCAATCTCAGTTTGAGCCCTGCTGAAACTGCTGAAAGTCATGCTGGTGTAAATCCCAAAATGAGAATGAGTCAGAATGGGCAGACCTGGAATGAAATGAGGAGAGAAATGAGCCTTTTTCCGCAGGCATACAAAGCTTCAAAGCGTAACCAACCATGCTACCTAAATTTGGAGCAAATGCAATAGGGTGATCGAAAGTTGTTGGTCGTGAACTAGCGTGGCTCCTTCACCCCCTTCACCAGTCTCCATCCCCTTTAAAAACTGCCAAAGCTGCCTAGAAGCACAAGGAGGTCGGCTACACCTTACCAAGACAGCATCTTCGAAGTGCCAGAGCTTTGTGACTCAGTGTATTGGTGATAGGTCGCGACATCATGAGTGTCACATCACGGTCTTTCTACGATGAAGAACCTCCTGAAGCTTGCCAATCAGTGACGAAGAAACTGTCGGTTGGATCAGGCTAGCATGATCTAGCAGCGTATATGTTCGGCGAACTATTGGCCAAAGTGCTAGCTGGGTGCAGCAGCAAGGACGATTGCTTCGGATGGCAAGCAAAGCGCGCAGCAAACTCCGCCAGAAAGCCCAGCATGGAGAACCTTCAATGGACCCGACACCTTCAAAATTCCGTCAGGTGGGGTTTTGATGGTCCATCTTCACTTGTGTTCGTGAAGTTCAGCGCTCCCACGCAACCCATCCACACAAAGAATCAGAACATTCTAAGCTGCTTTTCTGGAGATGGGGAGATGATGGGAGGTGCGCCAAGAATCACTGCTGAGCTCGCCAAGCACTTCCCATAGGATCGGCACTGACCAGCAGGAAGAACTATGCCAAGCCCAGTATCCTCGCACTCATTAGAGTCACTAGACTCGGTGACCCCAGCTGGACACCACTTGTGACATGATGAAGGAGCAAAGGATTGCAGGAAGAGCTTTTGGAATTGCAGGCGCACAACATAGCATGCCTTTCATCTCGACTACCTCTCTCATGTGGCTTCACAGGTGCAGTGGCACTTCAACTGCTTGCAACTGGAGCTTCAAAATCCACTGTGTTCTCGCCGCAAGCATCCTCGATTGGCAAGGCAAAGGGGTAAACAGGGATGGCACATTCCTCTCTAGATCGATTGAAGTTTACAAAGGGACATGCTACTAGTAACTGCTGTGGCAGTTGAAACCGCTGGATGAGGCCATATTGATGAAATCTTGCACAAAGCCCGAACTTTTTCTGAGAATGGGTCCAACCTCGCTCAAAGGGCAACTCCCACTTCTTGGTCTACAAGAGTCAACATGCTCCTTGTAAGGGAGTACCGCAATTGGTAGTTCATTTGGAAGTTCCATTTTCGACCTCCACGCAGCTTCCATGGGGGGAAGCCGGGGCCTTGCTGGCAATATGAGTCGGGAACCATAACAAAACACAAGTAAACAGCTGACATGACATGTCAGCTTTTAGTTTCCATCATGGCATGGTGCCGGCGGCCTGCGTCGGGAAGCGACGTCGCAAATTTTGACAAACCATAATAAGGAAGACAAGATTGTCAAAACAAATCTAAGCGAGTCAAAGTCGATTGCCCGTGAACCTTATGCCTATATATACCATTCCTCGGCCGCCGCTGCTCAGCTCATGATCTGCAGCAAAGCTTCGAAGTAAGGCAAGGTTTCCTCAGCATTTGAGACTCAAAAGATTGAACAGAAGGGCCAGGATTTACTTTGAGTTCGCTGCAGACTTGATACGGCGACGGAGTCTAGGAAGGAAAGAAGGCTAACAAGGACAAGCAACCTTAGAAACAAACACCATAAATATATAAAGGCATAATGCAACAAGGCTGCACCAGGACCTGGAGTCCTTCTGATCTCTAGTTCGGACTGCTTGGTTATAGATTAATATTGTGATATGCTGTGTGGGTGAAGAGGTTCACAGATCGAAGCAACTTTTGCTGCAAGCAGAATGGTTCGATCCAATCTTCAATATTTCCTGTGGATGCCCAATATTGAGCTGCTTGCAAGCATCCACGCAGGAGGTGAAACAGCACCAAAGTGTATTGATGATGATCAGATTCTGCAACCATCTCGCCGACGGACCATTGCCTATCCACAAAGCTGCATGACTACACAATCGGCAGAAGTGGACCACCCGCATGCCATAGTGTGATACTCGTTGGTTCCTGGCGTATCATCGCCCAAAAGCCATGGATTCTACGAACCTACCCCATTCCTGATATATGATACCGGGAGGGGACGAAAGCCAGCCTCTGTAAGAAGACATCAACATGGCAATGGGGGGTGAAGTCGAGAGCGTACTGGAACAGTGTCAAGAATGGGGAAATAAAAGGCAAAGGTGGAGAGTCGTAGTAAAGGTGGGGGAGTGGAGTGCCCCTGCCCTTGTTGCTCAAGGGGCGTTGTGAAGATAAAAAAAGGTAACGGAGGGGCGTTGGCGTGCTGTTGCTTTGTCTTGTGTTGCAGCTAGACTCATAAAGCCGGTGTGCTGCTAAGAGTAAGGTTACTGCTGAAATCACGCGAGGACTTTGGGGAGAGATTGCCGTTGCTATGGGGGGGATGTCGACATAGCAGTGATGCTACTGCTATACAGTGCCCTTTTTTTCGCCCGGCTCAAGGTCATTTTGAAGCTGAAAAAGGGCACCTAAGGAACTCAGGGGCGCTTGCCCGCTGTTTGTTATTCATATCCTGTGGATGGACTCAAAGACTTTGCACACAAGATCAAGTGATTGGCTAACATCGGGCCAAGAGTACCTTTATGGGGTGAAGTTGACATCGCAGCCAGCCATACATGGGGTAGAAATAGAAAGCAGAATTTAGGTTTGGGGGGGCGCCCTTTTCCTATTGGTTCAGGGTCGTTTTCAAGGTGAAAAAGGGCACCCCTAAGGAACTGAGGGGCGCTTGCCCGCTGCGCGTTGCCAAACAATGAGCAAAGATGTCTGTGGGGGGGCCCATGGGGCGAGGCTATCGGCTGGCTTTCGTGAAGATACATACATGTGTATATATATATATATGGAAACACTTATATCACACAGAAATGTCTATAGAGGTAAAGAAGGAAGTGCACAAGAAGAAAAAGAAGCTTCTGAGGTGGGTGGAGTCTTGTCCCTCTTTCCTATCGTCGACATAAACTCCCACCCCTGGTAGATGACATTCCTGCGCCTTTGTGAGTCCGGCAGCTAAGCCTCTTCACCGTTAAAAAAGGGCACCCCCAAATTCAAAGCTTGCCCGCTGCAGTCTGTTATTCTCTCTCCTGCCCTCAACGGACCGCGTCAATTACATGAACTCGCCCCCTATATGGGACACCTTATTTGCGATAGTTAACAGGTGTCTTCACCACTAAAAAGGGCGCCCCCAAGCAACTCCAAGATGTCTTGCTTTTCCTACGTCCTCCTCCGCTATGCCTGTCTTCCACCTTCCCCACAGCATTCTGTTCCCTCTCCTGCCCTCGCAGATCACGCAATGTCTTAAGAGACACACGCGCCTCCCTTTCACCTGGTCGAACACTATTTCAATGGCCATGAGAGACGCACATCCCGCCCCATCATTGGCCTGAACTCCCACCCCTGGTTGAAGACGGTTTACATTGCCTCCTCACGCTAATGATGCGCTATTCGCCGTCAATTACATCACTTGCATCACAACACCCCAAAACCATCCATGTTCAATCCCAAGCAGACCTGCGTTCTTTTTCGCTCTCCTCACCACCCTAAGTCTGCTGATTACCCAAATCTACTACATTAGGAATTTTACAAACATTGATGAAATTTGGTGGTTTTACCTGTTCCTGTGTAAATGTATATTTTGAAGGAATCTATGAAGTTCTTCAAGAGTTCTGTAAAAACTTCTTCAAAACTTACTTGTGGATAAGTAATGCTTACTTGTTTCCAAGATTCTCAGCTATGACTTTTTGTTTAATATCAAGTCAACTTGTACTTGTAAATTACTTGTGGCCCTGGTTCTCATGTATGACTTTTACTTGTAGGTGACTTGCGTCCAAGGTTCTCAAGTATGGCTTTGGAGTATACTAGTACTTTGGCCAAGGTTCTCATGTATGACCGCTACTTGTGAGTTACTTGTGGGCAGTATGCCTGTACTTGAGTTACTTGTGGGCAAATGTCCTGGAGGCAGCGCGCACAAGTTGTTTAGCCCACTTTGTGCCTAAAAAAAGCAAACGCCTTTCTTCCAAGGCTGCCTTCTTGGAACCTTGCCAATGCTTGGACCCAGCCAAGCAACTTTTTCCAAAGTTTCTGGATCCTCTGCACGGTCTCCTCACCTTTCAAACACCACAGTAGGCAAGGATGTATGTATCAGAAAGAGGCTGTGTAAGCAAAAGTTGGTCTTACTGGTCATATCAAACAATTCCCTTTCTTCACCTGCGTAGAAATCCATCAACTGCCCATGGAGCTGAGCAGGGTAGGACATCAAAAGTGTGTATATATATATATACAGAGCACTTTCCTTTGTATCCTCCTGGGTGGAGGCTGCCTCCCTTTGTCTTATCCCACCCTTCCTCCTTTTCCTGCTGAGCTCAGCAGCTTCCATGGGTAGGAGTGAAACTGAAAAGAGTGATTACTTGTATATTGAAAGTTCTTTGACCAAAAGATCTGCAGCGTGACAACAGCATCAAGAGCAAACCTCAAGTACAATTAACGTAGTTTTTGGTCGCGTGCACTCCTGGACACAATTATTGATACTAATTTGAGGTCTCAAGTATTTTAACTTTGCCAAAGCCTGTACTTACCACGCAGGTTTTGTCCTGCAGATTTGTCACCACCCGTTCACTCCTTTAGTCTTTCCCTTTGCTTTTGGTTTTGTGGCTTTCCCTGCAGGCTTTTGCAAAGCCTTCCCTGGTGATCCAGGGCCACCATCTCCCTGCTGGCTACCACCGTGTTGATTGAGAAGGCTCCAAACCATTCTCAACTTCATCAGTCTCACTTTGCTGGCTCATGATGCCACACTAGTACTATATGAACCACCTGCTTGTGATCCATAAAGCAGCTGTCAAGAAGCAAAGCTTCCTAAACCTATACCTGTACCTGAGTTTATTCAAGTGACATCACATGTACAATCGCAAAGGGCACAAGTACCAAGACACAGACAAACTCAAGCACATCACTCCTGGCAGGTAAAGAACAGGCAGGCTCATGTAGAAGCTTTCAAGTACAATAACAAGTCAACGAGCCACAAGTAAGTCCCAATCTATGCTCATGTAAAGCACAGGTAAGCTCAAGTACAACCCTTCAAGTACAATCACATGTCACACAAGTAAGCCCAAGTACAACTCCTCAAGTACATTCACACGTCAGACAAGTAAGCTCAAGTACATTCAACCCCAAGGCAGGTCAACCAGATTTTATCTGAATGTTGACAGATTTTTGTTGATGTTTGATGAAAGTTTGTTGATTTTTGATGAACTTTTGATGATTCTTGATGAACTTTTGATGAATTTTTAATTGACTTTCAAAAGTTCATCAAAAGCTCATCAAAACCACATGAAAAAAGTTCATCGACAGTTCATCACTTTGATGAACTTGTTAAAGTTTATCAAAAGTTCATCAAAAGCTCACCCAAAATCTTTTTGCTTGTTTCCACACATGTGGGGTTTTTAGTTTTAGTGTTGCAACCGTCCCGCCCTCCGCCTCCTCCCGCCCTCCGCTTGCCACAAAGCAAACCTCACCTACCAATTGCCATCCACCAATTGTCACCAACCCATTGTCATCCACCAATTGTCACCAACCAATTGTCGTCGACAAATTGTCACCCACCAATTGCCACCAACCAATTGGTACCCACCAATTGTTACCAACCAATTGTCACCAACTAATTGTCACCAACCAATTGTCACCAACCAATTGTCCACAGGGAATGCGCGCCGCGCGGACGTGCATAATCGGAATATTTTTAGTGGTGGGCCCGCGTCAACGCAAAGGGCACAAAATGTACCCCAAGATGACCCCAAGATAGGTCCAAGAAGGGTTAACATGACCCAACACAGGCCCAAGAGGGGCCCAACATAGGCCCCAAAGGGCACAACATAGGGCCAAGATGGGCCAACATGGGCCCAAGATGGGCCAACAACAACTGGTGGGTGGCAATTGGTTGGCGTGACAATTGATTAATGACAATTGGTTGAGGACCATGTTGTTCTAAAAAACGGGCCATCAAAAACAACCATTTCAGGAGGGCAGAGACCTACCAACCAGTTGCCATCCACCAAGTGTCACCAACTAATTGTCGTCAACCAGTTGTCATCAACCAATTGCCACCCCCCACCAATTGCCACCAACAAACTGCCACCAACCAATTGCCACCAACCCATCACAAACCGCCACCAACAAACTGCCACCAACCAATTGTCACCCACC